AGTTTATGATTTAACATGAAAAATTTACTATCGATATTAGTTTTTTATTCAACAAATACATTGATAATTTATACATACACAAAGATATGTAAAATTTTATGAACGCAAATGTCAAAGACACGGAATTTCTAACCACAAACAAGAAAATTAATAATTATGTACAGATAATTTTATAACAAAATACCCGTACAGATGCTTCATTTTTCTATACATGTGCATTTTTTTATACTTACTAATATTTATATTCTACTTATTTATATTTTATTTAATATCATTTTAGTTATAAAAATTAATTAATGACTGCTAAAATTACTTATTACATTTTATTATTTTATAACAACATTTTTACCTCTTGGATATCCAATTGCTGATGTAATCTATAGTTGTCGCAACCAGAGAGTGTAGCTCGGGTATTTTCGGAATGGCTTCTCCCACTCTCATGGAAAGAGCATTGCGCATGTGCGAGTTGAAAGTAGTACCAAGTTCGTATTATTACGCGCGCGGCAGATTTAAATTTATTTTAATTCAATATTTTTTGGCAACAGAGAGCGCTCGAAGATAATTCCCATCTTAACCGCAGATATTTAAATTTACTTTCTTAAGTTGCGTGTTTAAGCTGCATTCGTGTACGATTTTTTATTCCTATTAAAAAATAAATTATTTGAATTTTTTTTTTTGTTATTAATATATTTTTAATAATTTTAACAAGAAAAATAGACATGATAAATGAAAATATAAATTTAAACTTAACTTCAGAGCGCATTAAAATGACAATGATATAAAATTAAAAAAAAAAAAATAACAAGCAGGAAAAACTCGCGAGAGCAACAGAAAAGTGTTATTACCCAGATAGTAAGTTTCAAAAGTATAAATTTTTTACAAAACATTTAAGAATATTTACGAAATATTTAAGAAGAATGTTAATTATAGTGAAAAAGAGGGAAAAAATATAATTTGAAGTTTAACAATAATTGAGAGAAATCAATTATATTTAATTTAGCAGACATCTAAAAAATTTTTAGATTTTTATAATAATTAAATTATGATGAAAAAAAAAATTAACAAAAAACTTTAAGATGAAATTTAAAATAATTACAAGTGTGAATTAACAAAAAATTTTTTTTTTTTATAATTGATTCGTTAGCTGTTAAAAATTTCAAAAATTGTCAAATATCTGCTAATTTCAGTATCATAAAAATCTTCGATCCATGAACGATCAGAATTGAAGAAACAAAATGATAGATGAAGCTTAAATTTAAAAATAACATTTCAATTTTCAATGCATTAAAAATTATATTAAAATTTATAAAACATTACATAAATAATCTTGTACAATAATTATAATAAAAGACAGTAAATGAACATTTTCTGATAAATTTTAAATTTGTGAGGAAATTGACGATTTAATTTTGTAAATTGCCCACATTTTATTATTTTGCCCACAATTTAAATTCGTTCCTGCTAACAGAGCCATTGCCAATGCTAACGTTCCACAGCACCGAAAAAGTCGAGCTTTAGCATCAGTTCCCTCTTCCGGTATACAGTTATTTTCGTCAACAGGGTGAGAGTTGAATAGGAAGAAGTCCGGGCTATTCACATTCGGGGAATATAAATATTTGAATGACACAGTTTTACTTTGGGTAATAAATAAATAGCCACAATCGGGTTCAATAGTTGGCAGTACATGTTGTATAATACTCTTGTATAAAGAACTTAATGGATTTTCATCCAGCAACGATCCACAAGAGATATCTTCTTTTTTAACAATTATAGCAAGCTTATTTTTTACCAAAAAATTGGACAGTAATTCATCCACGTTAAGCATATCTTCAGTTGCGGCCTTCCTGCACTGTAAATAATAACTATCTCCACCAATAAGGATTTCGTCTAAATCTTGACTGGTTACGTGTGACAATTTATTTGGTAACGCTGCAATCGCATAGGTTGCAATTGCGGTACATTGCAACCCTGCTTGCCGGTGACTGAATAATTGCGAACTGCCTTGATGGTAATGAGCCGATTGGTATAAATATACCCCATTCATCGAAGTGTTGCTCTGATTACATTGTTGAGGAGATGGTAATTCGATTTCCTTCTGAAAGATGATTACAATAGTTATAAAACCAATTTACACAGCTAAATAACGTGGAAGAACATGTCTATCCATTCATAAAAAAATTCTGACAAATCCATGCTGCGTGAATGTAAAGTCTATTATATTCACACGGCGTGAATTCATCAGGATTTTTTTTACAAATAAATAGATACTTATAACTTTAAATTTTTCCAATTTTTACAAATTTAATAATCGTTCTGAAATCATATTTAATTCAGTTAAACTTTAGCTCCGAGGGTTCAGCGCGTAATCATTTTTCATCTATAAAAATTATGAGATTACTTAATCTAAGCCTTTCTTTTGTAGAATATTCAAGTCGGCGTGGGAAAAATGGCCACTTATTGCCATTTTACATTGTATAGTCCTACGAAATTTTACAAAAACTATTTAAACGTAGTCGAGAAAAATTGCAAATGAAATGTAGACAAAGGATTAACGATCAAAATGAGCTAAACCCGAAGTGTACGACCAATAACAGCAGTGAACCCCGTTTTTTTACATTAAAAATGAATTTCTCGTGAACTACTACTAAGTCAACATATATGAATAAATAATAATTTTATACAATTAGAAGAAATATCATAAGCAGTTGAAGGAGAAAAATTATATTTCTGATGACAACTTACAGTCATTTCCGCAGAAATTTGACTATTCTGCGCACTATTCGCACTCTCCGATGTTGACGATGATTTATGGCTCTCTAAAATATTTCGGAGCATCTGCGTTCGGAATCTGTTCATGTTAGCAGTGTTAATTTTGGGAATTGTTTTCAACATTGATAACTGCTTTGCATAAAAGCAAACAAAAACGCCACAGTCATAACTATTATTTTGCATCGGGATGTCCTGAAAAGATAATTAGACGAATATACACAAGTAATAAAAATAAACAAGCATTTTCAACTTTGACATTATGATTTCAACAAGGTGATTAGAGTCAGGATAGAAGAAACTGTAATATGAGTGGTTTTCGAATAAGAAGACTATAGATAAACACTTCAATAATTTTTTACATTTTTAAAACAATTTGTTATGGTGTTCCTAAATATTTTTTATTAATAATGCGTGAGTCACGTATCTTGCATTATTGATCTATTCAACTTTTGTCAATTAAACTTATCAGATCTAGAAAGTTATTTGGTGTGCAGTTATTGAGGAACAAAACAAAACAGTTTTCTTCGAGTTCTCCAAGATATTAGTTGGATTATACTAACACCGGCACACAAAAAAAAAAAAATGGAATCTACTATGGACCGGACCTACGTATCGACATATATATCGACCCGCTGAATCCGAATTTCAAGTCCGTTTGGCCCGGTCATCCTCCAGTTTTGAGTAAAATGCAAAAAAACCTCAAAAAAGGCAAAAAATTTCAAAAAACTGCAGTCACAGCAATGAAAAAATTTTTGTGGACCCGGATCTTGTATGATTTTTATGTATATCAAATTACTGAGTTTTGAATCAAAAAGTCGATTAGCCCGGTGAGCTGTCCAAATTTGAAAAAAAAAAAAATAACGAAAAAAAAAAAAATACCAATAAATAATGAAACATTGAAGTTTTCGGAATGAAAATTTTTTTGGACTCAGATTCAGTATCATTTTCATGTATTTTGTATAATACACAAATTGTATTTATGAGCTCGAAGAGCTCTAAAACGTCATAAGTGCAATTTCAAGTGTTTAGGTATAGAATTGGCGGGAAGTTGCCGGGATGGCCTTTAGGGTCAACTGTTTTCCTATTTTTTAACTTCCCGCTAAAAATCTCAGATTTGGAAAAATCGGGAAGTTATTGTTTTCACCCCGTTTTGCAAAAATCGAGTTTTCATCAGATCTCGACGTTTTAAGGTCACAGGAAGCTTCCCTGACTATCCCCGCGAGGTTGTCACTATGTCTGTATGTGTGTGTGTGTGTTTTTTTTTTTTTTTTCCAAAGAGGTACGAAAAAAGATCTTCAAAAGACACCGCTATCGTTAACTTTGCCGCCCATCCTACGGCAGATATCGATAGTCGGTAGTGTGGAGATTTTTACCCACTAAAAAAAAACATTCCTCTTCCCCTCTCCCCTAGATGGTACGGGGAGGACTGGATTGGAACCGCGTTAGCATTACTTCAATCCAGTCGTGCTGCGTCTCACGACGCCTACTCTTGGCTACTGGTTCCTTTCTGCGATTTTGTCTTTCAGGAGGTGCTGTGCATAAGCTGCAACAGCTGACCAGTTTTCCTCTTGTTTGATCATATAGGTCACCAGGCTTGAGGGGGAGAGCCTGGTGCCTATGATCTCTTCGGTGCTTCTTCTGTAGTCCTTCCATCGAGCACACTCGAAGAACGTGTGTTCGGCGTCGTCGATTTTATCCGGGCAGTATTTGCACGTTGGTGTGCTGTGCAAACCCATCTTGAAGAGATAGGCGTTGAACTGCCCATGCCCTGTCAGTAGTTGGGTCAGGAAGAAATCCGTGTCCCCGTGTTTCCGAGAGAGCCAGGCGTTGATGTTTGGGATCAGTCGCGCTGTTCATCTGCCTGTCTCTTCCGACGTCCACCGGTCCTGCCACTCTAGCTGCGTTTCCGTTTTTATCCTCGTTCTTGCCTCCTTCATGTTTTCGCCGCTGATTTTAGCGTCGTAGAGTTTAGCTCTTTCGAACGCTAATAGGTCGATGGGCGTGGCTCCCGCAATGGCCAATACAGCTGCTTCGGAAACTGTGCGGTAGGCGCAGGCAACCCTGAGAGCGCCTCGCCGCTGTACTGCTGCTATCTTTCGCCGGTAGGTCTTCTGCTTTAATATGTCTGCCCATATCTCCGCTCCATAAAGCAGTACCGAGTGGACTGCTTCTAGAAGAACTCTTCTCTTTTTTGTTCTTGGTCCCATGGTGTTGGTCATAATTCGTGCGAGGCTAGACACAGTCTTGCTGGCTTTCTTGCATGCACTGTCGAGGTGTTCACGGAAAGATAGTTTCTCGTCTATCATTACCCCTAGATAGCGCAGGGCCCTTGTTGACGTGAGTGTTGTTCCTCCCAAGTCCACAGTGAATGGTTTTGGGAACCATTTTTGCCGTGTCAAAACGACCATCTCGGTTTTCTGTTTGGCGAGTTTCAGGTGATGCTTATCAAGCCAAGTCTCGACGGTGTCGATGGTTTCTCGAACTAGCAGTTCGGCCTCTTCTACGCTGTCCGCCACTATAGTGGCTGCAACGTCGTCTGCAAAGCCTGTTAGCTCTACTTGCTCTGGCAACAGGATTTCAAGAAGCTCGTCGTAGTCTGCGTTCCATAGATCAGGCTCCATTATTGAGCCTTGCGGCACGCCAGCCGTTATGGCGTATTCTTGTGGGCCTTCAGTAGTTTCCACTATTAGCTTTCTATCGTCAAGGTAATTATCGACTAGTGCCAGATTTTCTGGCTCCGCGTCAAACTTGTGCTCCAGAGCGTCTAGAATGTCTCCCCAATTTGCGCTGTTAAATGCGTTTTTGACATCTAGCGTGAAGAGAAGACATACTTTACGAGCTTTGAGGCTACCAGACCATGCTTGTGTTGCTGTCTTTATGACTTTCTTGATAGCTCCGACTGTCGAATGACCTTTCCGGAAGCCATGCTGGTTAGTGGCAAAACCTCCAGCACGGTCGATGTCGTTGCGAAGTCTCCCTTGTATGAGCTTTTCGAGCAGTTTTCCAGCAATGTCTAGCATACAGAGTGGTCTAAACGACGAAGGTGCTATGGGAGTTCCCTTACCTTTGTCTAAGAGAACCAATCTCTGCCGTTTCCAGACCGCGGGAAACGTGCCAGATGCCAAGCATGCGTTGTAGGTATTCAGGAGTAAGTCTGGGTATTTCACTGCTACAATCTTGATCACCGATGCCGGGATGCCATCAGGTCCAGGTGCCTTTCCTATTTTCAATGACTTGGCCGCGTCTTGTAATTCCTTTGTTGTGAAGGGTGTTACTTCGTTGTTTTTAGTGTAGTGTTTCTTCTCCCGCGGCGGGTGTTTGGGGAAAAGCTTCGCTACGATGCTATCCATTAAGGCTGGAGACTTCGGCGCCTCTGGTGAAGCCCTTCCAAGTCGTTTGGCGACAATTTGGTAGGCTTTACCCCAGATGTCATTGTCGAGATCGTTGCAGATCTCTTTCCACAACTTTGCTTTACTTGCTTTGATGGCTCGGTTTAGCGTCTTTTTGGCCTGCTTGTACTCTTTTGAATACAAGTCCTGACTTGGGGAGCTTTTTGCGGCTCTCGTTGCGCGGCGACGTAGTTGATGGCATATTTTGCGTAGTTCTGCTATGTCTGTTGACCACCAATACGCCAGCCTGTGAAAACTCCGGTTTTTAAACTGCGGCATAGAGGCGTCACAGGCGGCGGAAATCTCCTTCATCGTATTTAGTACTGTCCTTTCTGTCTCGCTGCAAGTATCCGGAGTCGGGTTGTTCTTGAAGGATAGATGTGTGTGTGTGTGTGTGTGTGTGTGTGTGTGTGTGTGTGTGTGTGAACCTCTTATAACTTTTGAATGGTTGAATCGATTTCATCGCGGTTGGTGCCATTCGAAAGGGCTTCGCCAAACTTAGATTTCCTAAGAATTTGAACCGATTCGGACCGATACATTTTGAGAAATCTCAAAAAAAATAAGAAAAAAATCATTTTTGAAAGTGGTTTTTTTGGAATATCTTTTAAACGGCTCGACCAATCAACTTCAAAAACTTATCCGCCCTTAAGCTTGAAAAACCACGCCGATCGCCGCTAATCCGGTCAAAATCGGTTGATTCGTTCAAGAGATAGCGTGAACGAAAGAAAACCGAAAAAAGGGTTTTTTTCACATAACTTCGTCATTTGTTCTCGGATCGTTTTTGATGATATAAAATAATTTTAGAGCTTAAAAAACCGCGTCGATCGCCGCCAAAAACGTAGAAATCGGTTGATTAGTTCGAGAGATATCCTCGACGAAATATTTGGAAATAAGGATTTTTTCAACATAACTCCGACAATTTTTGGAATAACTTTCAAACAGCTCTACCGATCGATTCCAAAAACTAATCAGCTCTTAACATCAAAAAAC